CTTTGCCGGCTTGTCCCCTAGCGCCGCCGGGGCGCCGCGCAGGCCGCCGGCACCATGAAGATCTGGACGTCGGAGCACGTCTTTGAGTACGTTCGGGCTGCGGGGCAGGGAGGCCGGGACACGGGGCAGCTGCGGGCCGCAGGGCCGGGCGCCCCTCAGGAAGCTTCCAGGCGTCGGGCCTAGTGGGGAGCCGGCTGAGCCCCACGGGGCCCCGGAGACGGGTCCCAAGGTCACGACCCCGGGGGCCGGAGCCCCGACTCTGCCCCCTCGGGGCCGGCTCCCCGGGGAGAGGGCACGGGACCTCCCAGTCGTGGGGTGGGAGGCCCAGGACGAAGGCCTGGACTTTGGCAAGTCTGCTGCCGGGGCCAGGGTGCGGTGTCTTAAGCAGGAATGTGCACTTCAGGCGCTCTCAGGTGACGGCGATGCCAAGCCTGCCCTGCAGCTTCCGGAGCTGAAACAGGCTGGGTTGGCGTCCCGCACCTGCCCTGACCCCAGTGAGCTGCGTGTGACCTTGGGTTACCCATTTTCACTTGAGGTATGACAGGTGATGATAGCTTCGGGACCTGCCCATGTGAGGTCTACTTTGCCGTCACTTCATTTAACGGCTCAGTGTGACAGAGAAACTTTTAGCAAAGAAAATAGGTCTTAATTAAGTTAGTCATTGACAAGTAAACCCTTCTGGCCCAGGCAGGCATATGCTAAAGAACCTCACATGTAAGCAGGGTTACATCTTTGCCTACATGAATCAACCCTACCCCCAGTACTCTATCTCCGGTTGGTTTGAAATGAACACGTTATGATTTGTATTTGCATCTATTTCTGAGCTAGCTGCTCTTTTCCACCTATTTTGCTGTTGCTGCCACACTGTTTTAACTTCAGTAGCTTTGTACTGTGTTTTAACTTAACCATTTGATGTTTTAATAAAGTGTTTCCAAGGGCAGTTTTAAAATAAGTTGAAAACTTTTTACGTGCTCAGTGACTCAGACACTTGAAGATTCCCCCTGAAGTATAGAATGATGGACCCAGAGGAAGGATGTTTACAGTCTGGGGTGAGGGGCTGGGAGGTATCCTAAATTTGTAGTGTTTGTGATGTTCTTTGACTCGGTCACATTCTTCACTATTCCGTTTCAGCCATTGGGATCATGGAAGGTTTCTTCACAGTCCTCTTCTTGATTAAGTGCTGCGTGGAAGCTGTTGACATTGTGCCTCCCTAGAACTTCCCTGACACGCTGCACCTTTTCTTGTTTCCCTTGCCCCCACGTCATGCTCTCTGCCTTTTCTTTGTAGTTTCTTCTCCCCCCTCCATTTTTTGCACCTTCAGTGTGCATGTTCAAGGAAATTCCACTGTTGGTCTCCTTCTCTTGTATCTCAGTAGTGATTCTTATTCTTTCCTTGTTTCTCTCTCCATCACTGACCTCGCTGAGATTTAATGACAGCTCTGGGACAGTGCTCCCAGGCAGTAGACATTCAGGTAAATGCTGCACTTGTGGGAGAAGCAGCCCTGGTCCTGATTCTTCCCCAAGTGTCTGGACTTTTCCATCAGACACACTCATGGCACCCAAACCTACCTCTTCTACTTTCAGTCTCTCATACTCTGAATCTTTATTTTCAGGTCTTATCTGAATTCTACACAGACCTCACGGAGGCGGTCCTGAAATTGAAGGCCCCTCTCCCCTCTCAATCTTATCATTTCCTTTTGTGCCCCTTCCTGAGGAATCGTCTCTAGCAGCAGCATCTTCATCTTCATTCCGTGTCCTGCCATCTTTGATCTTTCGGCACTTCCATCAAAGGGCCTAACACAGGGTTGGCATCCACTTGAAGCCCGACACTGAGTCCTTCCAGGAGTAGGGATGCCCCCAAGCCAGACCTAGTTCTGTGGGTTGGTTCTCTTTGGGTACGTCAGTAAGACATAGTTGCTGCCAGTGATCCCACCTTGTTTTGTAGGTGAAGAAACGGGTCAGGGCACCAGCGCCAGGTTCTCCAGCTGCCCCTGTCCCATCTCTTAGTGCCTTCCAGCGTAGGTCTTTCACGTAATGATGTCAGCCCAGTTGAGTCATTGCTGTGACATGCGCCCTTGCGATGTGTGAGCGCTGCGTGTTTCACGAGCAGTCTCAGTCCACGTCTTCGACCTGGCGCAAGAGGAGGCGGACTTATACATCCTGCATAACCACCCTGCCGCCTGCAGTCACTCATTTTTTTTAGAGGCGGCGGGAGAAGTGGAGGAGTCAGCTCACCGTGGTGTGTGCCTGGATGGCGACGGGGAGGCTCACCCATTTTCATTTTAGATAGTCGCCTTGGTAACAGTCATATTTGGCCGGCCTTGGTGGGCTGCTGGTGGCGGCTCTTTAGATGAGGCAGCAGCCCTGGGCCTGCTCTGATCCTGAAGACGCTCCTTCACATAATGCAGGAGAGTGAAAACAAGGTCAGCGGGCCCGTGGGCCTTTCTGTCCAAGGGGCAGGCTCGGCTCTCTGAAAGGCTGAAGTGGGTTCCAGTCTGCTCGTGTTGCTTATGGAGAGGAAGCCACGCTGTGTGTTTCTCAGTCCCGTAGCTTGACGCGCGCCCAGGTCTTGCTCTTCCTTCGGAGGAGACGGCACAGTGTACGGGTGCGGCGGCGGAGGCCGATCCCTGAGTGGCCGAGTGGCCCGCGGCGGGTGAGCGTTGACACCCGACAGCCGCCGTTGGCGGCCCTGAAGCAGCAGAGCGAGCGCCCCAGGGAAATGCTGTTGGGCCGAGGCTGACGGGCCGCCGTGCCTGGCTCAGCAGCAAGAGCACGCTCTGTGTCGCGGTGTCACGTCTGCCACACGTCCGGCCTCTGAGGCGTCGGGGTTGGCGGCGCCGCGGCCCTGCACCCTGCTGCCCCTCACGCCCTGGAATGGGGGTGCGGAAGAATAACCAGAACAGTGTCGTCTCGCGGCTTGTTTCTCCAGAATGGGGTTTTAGGTAGCTCTTTGTGGTTTGTGGCCCGGGAGCCGGGCAGTTGCCCGTGGACAGAGGGAGCCCCAGACTCACGCCTCGGCAGTGGCTCCCTGGCCAGCGGGGGAGGCGCCTGCGGGGGTGGACAGGGGGCCCAGCTTGAGGCGCTGCTCTTGCTCCCCGCAGCCACCCGTGGGAGACCGTCACCACAGCCGCGATGCAGAAGTACCCGAACCCCATGAACCCCAGCGTGGTCGGGGTGGACGTGCTGGACAGGCACGTGGACTCGTCGGGGAAGCTGCACAGCCACAGGCTCCTGAGCACCGAGTGGGGCCTGCCTTCTGTCGTGAAGTCGGTGAGCGCCCAGACCGGCCGCCCGCGTCCCTCGCAGCCTGGTCACGCGCTAAGCGTCACTGGGCGTGCGCGAGGGTTGCCCTGGGGCTCGGCCACCCTGAGGAAGGTGCTGTGCCAGCACCTCGCCGCCACGGCGGGTTTGAAAGCGACGTGCCCCATGGGCCGCCGTGGCCGTGGCCGTGGCCGTGGCCGCCGAAGCCGCTGTGGTGGTGGAACAGGCAGAGCCCCAGCACGTTGACCAGCAGCCCGGCCAGGCCGACGCCCAGCACGACGAGGGGCTGCTGCATCTCGTGCGGCTCGAGGAAGCGCTCGATGGCCTCGAGCAGGATGGCGAAGCACAGCCCGGTGAGGAAGATGGCGTTCACCAGCGCCCCCATCACCTCGGCGCGGATCCAGCCGAACGTGTTCTTCTGCGTGGCGCGCGTCCGCCGGGCGAAGCGCTCGGCCACCAGCGCCACCAGCAGCGCCAGCACGTCCGACAGCATGTGGAACGAGTCGGACAGCATGGCGAGCGACGCGGTCACCCGGCTGACCACCACCTCGAGCACCATGAACAGGAAGGTCAGCAGCAGCATGCACAGCAGGCGGCCGCGGTTGCGCCCCCAGCACCCC